AAACCTGAGTCCCTTGGGTGGCTTCAAAAACCTTATCCCGGAGCTTTAGATGTTCTTCTAGCCGAAATACGGAATATCTGATTAGAACAGCAAAAGGGCTTTTCCACTCCTACAACCCCGTTACCTCTCTGACTGTCCGGTAGCCCCTTGCTGATCTTCACACTTCTGTGGTGGACAGCTCCCACCTTTCAGAGAAGAGTAGTGAGCCAAGGGTTGTAGTGAATATTTATATTAGTAAGGCTTTGTGAAGTACATCTCAGTGTCCTGTAATAGGTTTGAAAAGATTAAATCTTTATTCTGACAATTGTAGTTTTTAGTTTTAAACTGCATCTTTATGGCACAATGTCCTCACTTTGTTGTGGTGGTTGTGTGTTTGCGATCTCACTGATTCACAAAATTTAATAAGGCCTCCTAGTGGAGATGCACCGTATACTGGCAAGAGTGCTTTTGCTGTTACTGCGTATACTAGATCCCTGAACAAAATAAGCCATACCGGCCAAAGCACTTCTTTGCTGGTAAAATCGCATCTACACTTGGGCTTATGCCAGTAAAGATCACACTCCTAACTGACATTTCTATACCAGGAAACGTTTAAATCAGTGGCTCTCAACCTTTCCAGACTACTGTACCCCTTTCAGGAGTCTGATTTGTGTTGTGTACCCCCACTTAAAAACTACTTGCTTACAAAATCAGACACAAAAATACAGAAGTGTCACAGCCACACTGTTACTGAAAAATTGCTGCCTTTCTCATTTTTATCATGTAATGATAAAAGAAATCAATTGGAATATAAATATTGTACTTACATTTCAGTGTATAGTACACAGAGCAGTATAAACAAGTCATCTGTATGAAATTTTAGTTTGTACTGACTTCGCTAGTGCTTTTTAGGTAGCCTGTTGTAAAACTAGGCAAATATCTAGATGAGTTGATGTACCCCCTGGAAGATCTCTGTGTACCCCCAGGGGTATGCGTACTTCTAGTTAAGAACCACTGGTTTAAAGTGTAGAGCTGGCCTTTGTCTCAGTAGGCCCCTTCTAGTCTTTAGCGTCAATTAGGGCTTGCCTATACAGGAAATTAAACCCAATGAACCAGAAGTGTGAAATTAAAGGACCTTAGTTAAAGCTCCTGAAATCCCAGTGTGGACACACGTGTTCAGAAGTGTCCTTAATCCACTTCAGTTTAATGTACTTCCAAAGCGAATTAAGTGAAAGGAAACTAAGGCCATTTAACTTCTGAATGAGAGCCTCCATGGCGGGGTTAATGCATTTTAACTACGGGGACGTCTACATTACAGCCAGGGGTGTGCATGGCAACTCATGTGGACATACCCATAGTTATAATCTAGCTAGTTATACTCTAGCTAACCTGCTAAAAATAGAAATGAGGATGCCCCATCTCACTCCCCCTCCCCCAACCCCACTGGGTATGTGCTTGCTTGTGCAGCTCACACGGAAGTCCGTGCCACAGCGTCCTCACTTCTATTTTTAGCAAGCCAGCTAGCGTACAGCTACCGCAGATATGTCTACACGAGTTGCAAATCACACCATGGGTGCAGTGTAAACTACCCTGAGGCACTTTAAATTCAGGCCTTTAGTTAACCCGGTTTAACTTTGTTGAACTTCCCCAGGTAGACATGCTCTTAGTGGGGTGCTATTGGAGTGAGAAACAGAATTCCTGCAGTACCTGAAAAATGTGGGCGTTAAGTGCTGTTTTTGTGTCTTGAGGAGATTGAAACCGATTTTGTCTATATAGACGAATACACTGGCGTAAAACGTTCTTTGTGGGTAGGCGGTCAGGTTTGGTTGTAGTGAAGGCAACATCATTTCACATTGTGTGAACATAGCTCTGTAACCTCTGCACTCTCCTCCGTTGACCAGAAGGCAGGCATATACAATGGGGAGGGACAAACTGACATGACCTCCTAAGGTCCCTTCCAACCCTGATATTCTATGATTCTATGATTAAATCTCATGTTCCCAATGTCTTATAATCTTGACATTTGGTATATGCATCCATGGACCTCTGAGCACAGGTTGGGGAAACCTTTATATTTTCCATCAAAGGTCACCAGTCCAACAGTTTACAAAAACAATAGTAATGTCTTCTGCGAGGCATTGATGGTGCTTATGAGATCTCTAGTTTGGAGGAATTAAGGCCACCTGAGGTCACTGGTTCTATTAATAGAATCATAGAATATCAAGGTTGGAAGGGACCTCAGGAGGTCATCTAGTCCAACCCCCTGCTCAAAGCAGGGCCAATTCTCAGCTAAATCATCCCAGCCAGGGCTTTGTCAAGCCTGACCTTAAAAACCTCTAAGGATGGAGATTCCACCACCTCCCTAGGTAACCCATTCCAGTGCTTCACCACCCTCCTAGTGAAAAAGTTTTTCCTAATATCCAACCTAGACTGCAATATCCCACTGCAACTTGAGACCATTGCTCCTTGTTCTGTCATCTGGTACCACTGAGAACAGCCGAGCTCCATCCTCTTTGGAACCCCCCTTCAGGTAGTTGAAAGCAGCTATCAAATCCCCCCTCATTCTTCTCTTCTGCAGACTAAACAATTCCAGTTCCCTCAGCCTCTCCTCATAAGTCATGTGCTCCAGCCCCCTAATCATTTTTGTTGCCCTCTGCTGGATTCTTTCCAATTTTTCCACATCCTTCTTGTAGTGTGGATTTTAACCAAGGTAGTTGTCGAAAAGGGAGTAATGGTGCTGCATGGGCCAATGCTGGTACCCACTTCCATCTGAAAGGCAGACTGCTGTCAAGTAGCATTCAGAGATCACTATTTACATACTGCCATAGTTGGGCATGGATAAAAAATTTCCTCTGGGCAGGGACATTTGTAAAAAAACAATCTCTCTGTGGCATGCATGGATATGTTTATATACATGGATGCATAGACACCAAAACTCATCCCACAATACTCAAATTATTATTTGTATGATCATGCTGCCTCAGAACCCTAGTCTTCGACCAGGACCCCAGTGTAGTGGGAGCTGTACAAACACAAAACAAAAAGACAGTCCCAGCCCCAGAGAATTTACAATCCAAGTATAAGACAAGTGATAACAGATGGATACAGAGACGAGGGAGTACAAGGAAATAGTGAAACGATACTGGGCAGCCTGATCAGCAGTGGTCAGAATAACATTACGGTCATGCCAAAGTCAGGAGCTGGACAAATTCTTTCTCTGAGTGGTGTTATACTTCGCCACCTCGCACATCCCGTAGATTTGATGTTAACAATATTAATATTTATTCTAATCCTCTTTACTCACTTTGTATTCTGATGAATTTGGTATTTTGGTACATTTGTTTTATTTGGAAAAAAATGAATAAAAATGATAAAAACACCCAATATTAATATCTATATCTTTAGTTCGTGTTGTTGAAAAGCACCAGTAGCTCTAGATGCTTTTTGCAGTACCTGAAATAAACAACAAGCAAGAATAAATTCCACAAAGCACATGGCACAAAGCCACCCAGGCTGGAATAATTCTCTCCATATCTAGCCAGGTACATCCTTCAACCCGCCTTCTGCTCCGAAGGCAGAGAGGATGAGCTTTGCAGAATGTCCTGGAGGCTAGCAAATCTAGCCCCTCTCACCGCAAGGGGACCAGTTCCAGAGTTGATTTGTCCTCGTGGGAGAAGGCCCCACCCCTTTAAACCAGGGGCCTGTCAGCTTGAGCACCTCTGCTAATAGCAGCTGCCCTGATGCGGGAGGGAAGGGAAGGGAAGGGTGTTACAGGGGTGTCGTAGGTTCTGAGGACGCTGGCTTTTTGTCTTTAGCTGACTTGCTCTTATGTCAGCTCAAGTCATTCCTATTGGGTACAGCAGAGGCATGTAAAGGGCTGAGCCTCTCCGAGGCAGAGGGATTTAGGGACTGGGATAAAGAGATCTTGTACAGGGAACCGTAGGGAACAACCAAGCTTGGGAGCAAGGTAAGGCTGAAGATAACCTTTTCTTGGTTATATTAACAATAAAGGCAAACCTCCAGAAGAGAGGAATGTTTTATCTTACCCAGTGTGTATGCACTGTGTTCAGAGCAGTTAGCACCGTCCTGCTGAGATAGAGCGTCTGTCTGGTGCCAAATCCATTTAGGGCTTCTAGAGCCCCAAACCACCAACTGAAACTCAATCAGGCAGCCAATGCAGACTGTAGGCACTGTCGTTAGGTGCTCTCTATGGCCCTAATTCAGGAAAACATCCGTATTAAGGACAACTCCTAAGCACGTGTTTCTGTCCCATCAAAGTCAGTGAACAGGGTTGGGCTCAAGCCATATTCTTCAGTGCTTTCCCGAATTGGGATTTAAGTGAAGCCCTGCTTGGTGCAGAATACTACTTCTTACTCCTGCTTCTGAATGGCTCCAAGCGGAAGCCTGAAGCAGAGAGAATGTGGTCTAGTCGTGAGGTGGTAAAGGCATGGTAACGGCAGCGAGGTCTGCACCCAAAAGACCCAGTAGTCCTCTTCTCACCAGGTGCTCTTGGCCTCAACTGCTGTTTGAGCAGCCCAGGATCTAGAAAGACACCACCCTCCCAAGTTGCATACCTGGGTAACAAACGGTCCCTCAGTCTGCAGTGCTGGCCCTTCTGCTTGCTGCCTGCTGCTCTATCTCCATGGGTTGCACCTCAGTCTGCTAGCCCTTACCCTGGCCCCGATCTCCTTCAGATACTGAGTCACTCGTCCTATTGCATCCCCCAGGGATGTGGAGAGATGCCACAGTGTGCATCTCCTCTCCTAAGCCCAACAGCCTCCTGTATTTGGGTGAGCAGGAGGGGAAGCAGGATAGCTCCACCCCCCACAAGGCAGGGTACCTGTCGTTTCTGATCTGTAAATAGCTGTAGCTCTGCAGGAAGGGTGGGGGGTGAAGTATGTGGATTACCACACTTGGAGTGGGCGTAGAGTTGAAGGTTCTTGTTCATATTGATCTTCACAACAAGTGAGTTAAGCACTTAAAAGGAACTTTTGTCTTTTCCTCCTTCCTCCCTCCCTCAGGTGATCTTTGCTTTGAATCAGACTCTCTTGCAGCAGGAGAGCCTCCGAGCAGGCAGTCTCCAGACCCCCTATACGACAGAAGACCTTATCGAGCATTACAACTGTGGGGACCTCAACTCCATCATCTTCAGCCATGACACTTCTCAAGTGAGTCTTGCCGCCGCACCCCCTCGTATTTCCCACCTGTCCCCGACGGCCAGAGAATTCCCTGATTCTGCTAGCGTCCTTCAACGGACAGCGCTGCCTCCACTCCAGAAAGGTCCGAGTATTGTTTGGTGTCATAGAAACGGGAAGGGAGAGAAATGGAGGGAATGTTTCAAATGATTGTGCCTGCCTTCTTGTCAGGCTGTCCCTGATTTGGATTTGGGGGGGGGTTCCGTTCCTCTTAGTTTGAACCTTTCTTTTCTTGCAACATGAGAGAGTTAAAAGCTTTGCTCAGGAGTCCAGCCAATCCAAGCATACAAACTAGTGTAAGGGCTGGTCCACACTAACCCCACCCCCCCCGAGTTCGAACTAAGATACGCAACTTCAGCTACGTGAATAATGTAGCTGAAGTCGAAGTATCTTAGTTCGAACTTAAAGGTACTTACCGCGGGTCCACACGCGGCAGGCAGGCTCCCCCATCGACTCCGCCTACTCCTCTCGCGGAGCAGGATTACCGGTTTCGACGGCGAGCACTTCCGGGATTGATTTATTGCATCTAGACAAGACGCGATAAATCGATCCCAGAAGATCGATTGCTTGCCGCCGAACCAGCGGGTAAGTATAGACGTACCCTTAGTGTGACCGGGTACAGCAGCAACACCTGGGCTCCCGGCATGCAAGGGATTAACGCTGGCTTCCCTAGCATAGGTGTGCTGAGGAGGGGCTGTACACTTAACAGGGTTCGCCAGGCTGGATACACAGGTATATCTGTCCTCCTCCCCTCTCCGCCCCTCCGTCGCCCCCGGTGGAGGTGCAATTTATAGTGGCAAAAGCACGCAGTAGAGCATAAACCATTTCCCCAAACAGAATTAGCTATACTGGCAAATAGACATTGTTGCTGGTATAACTGCACGTATTGTAGGGATTTAGCTGTGTTGGTCAGGGGTGTGATTTCTTTCACCCTCCTAACTGACACAGCAATGCTGGCAAAACCTCCTGGTGTAGACCAGGCTTAAGAGGGTACGTCTACACTGCAGCTGGGAGTGACCCTCCCAGCCCAGGGAGACAGACCTGCGCAAGCTAGTCTGCTTCAGATAGCCGTGTGGATGTTGTGGCTCGGGCGGAGACTTGGTCTAGCTGCCCGAGCTCAGACCCAGGGGCTCGGGTGGGCGCGACAGCCCGAGCTCTCGCCCAAGTTGCAATGTCCACACTGCTAATTTTAGCATGCTAACTTGTCACTTGGGTGGTTTGTTTTATGCTGCAAAGCTTTGTCCCGGTTGAACACCCCTTTGCTGCTCCACTGCCATGTATTCTGCTGAGCTCTCCCTCCCCCAGGTTGCAATTATTTATCTGTTAACACTTTGCCCCCTTCAGCCTAGAACCACAGGGTCCACTTGCCCTGTCACTGGGGCGGTGGAACCAGTGCAGTGGAGAGGAGAATCAGGCCATAATCTTTCCTGGTGGTGAGTTCAGAATTATCCCCCCCATCCTACAGATGGGGAGAATGAGGCAGCAAGAGATTCGTGGCCTGCGTTTCAAAGGTGCTGAGCAACTTCCGACTCCCCTGGATTTGATTTGCACTTGTGGGTTCTCAGCGCCTGGGAGAATCAGGCCCTGTGGCACTTGCCCAAGATGACACAGCAGGTCGTTGGCAGAGGACCAGATTCTGCGTGTGAGAACACTGCTGTAGATCCGGAGAAATGTCATTCGAATTACAGCTGGTTTACACTGGGCCAGATGCTGATCCTGGTTATGCCAGTCAGGAACAGGACAAAGATCCTCTCGCTCTCAGTCTGCTTCTCTAACTGCTAGCTCACACTGTCTTTCCTTAAATAGGCCCCTTCGCAAATGTAGGTAAAGATTGCTAACAGGCTGCTTTTCTCTCCAGCCAGGACCAGAACATACTCTGTCCTGTATTCTGGCTTGTTGCCTGTAGACAGCGGAGTCTTCCCTGGCCTTTCCTTTGAGACAAACAGGATGTCTGACGGTTTAATTTTAGCACCAAAGCTCCGAGAGGTCCCTTTTATTTTTTAAAGGCCCCTCTGGCATCAGGCTGTATAAGGGAAGAGTCAGTTGAGTCCCAGTGGAGCGCAGGCACAGGCTTTTTGTGCTAATAGTGACACGTGTGTGTGAGCCTCACTTTGGCACCTACGTAGCACTGGACAAATCACAAGCATTTTAATGCCTGTATTTCCCCCATCTTGGCAGTGGGGAGGGCAGTGACCTCCTCACAGTGGTGGCTCCATGGATTGGCTACTCCATGTTTGTCAAGTCCTTTGAGCTCCTTGGATTGTTTGCACTTCTGTAGCACGTGCAGTTTTTATATATATTCCTATCGCTGTTGTATTCGTATCGGAGCCCTGTCTCGGGACGGGGCGTGCTTTGCATTTAACCCTGCTCTTTCGTAGCCTAGTTATTTGGGGGAGCCTTGCAGCAGCAAAGAGGTGTCTAAGAGGAAGTGTTGCAAGCATAAGGGGGGGAGGGATTACATAGGAGAGCAGAAGGGTGTAGATGGCCTGATTTGTGTACAGTTTTTGTATTGGTGTAACTGTTAGTTAATCTGTAATCTGTTAGTTAATAATTATCCCAGTGCAATCCTGCATGCAACTAGAATGGGTGTATAAAAGTGTTTTATAGCAGTATAGCCGTTCCACTTCCCATATGGGAAGAGCTATATTGGTATAATATGTATGTATGTGTGTACATACCTGCTTCCACCTTCCGGGGATTGAGTTAATGCTGTACAGCTTGTAGTGCAGACAAGACCTACGTAGGAGAACTGGGATGAAACAAAGAAAGATTGGGTTTAGAGTGAATATCAGGAAAAATGTATGAAGCCACGTAGAGTCCGTTGTGGGAACAGTCTCCCAAGCAGCACGATGGAAGCCCCAGTGCTCTGATACTATAAACAACAAGAAAATGCCCTGTAGGGAATCATTTGGCCTTGTCAGGGTTGTGGCTAGATAACCTCAGACATTAGACCTCTGATTACATCTGAGTGTGAGGTTCTGCCTAGCAGAGCTGAGTGAGAGCTCGGTGGTGGGACGGGTGCCCTGCTGATCTGACATTTCCCTCTGTGGCGGAGCACGTTCAGTGGGGGGCGCTGCGGGACTGGAGCTACTGTCACGTTCAGTCCATTCTGCCACTCTCCTGGCACTGAGCGTTGTGTGCGTGTCACTGTCTCTTTGTTGTTGTGCACGCCTCACCATCGCCCCAGGTGCATTTGCAGCTGAGTGAATTGTTGGCAGTGATAATAATAAATAACACCTAGTTCTTATGTAGCATTTTTCCTCCACAGATCTCAAAGCGCTTTACAAAGGAGGTGAGCATCATTATCCCCATCTCACAGATGACCATACAGATTAGACACGATTATTTTATAAGATTACTACAGACGATTAACCTTGCTTCCCGTCCCAAGGCGAGAACTGCCCTGTTGATACTATGCCACATGTTTCTGAGGGACAAGTTGCCCTTCACCTACATCAGAGTCCTTTTTCTCCACCACATAAAGCTTGCCATCAGAGACGGATTCTATGTGAGCTAGGTCAAAGAGTTACCTCCCTGCGGCCCTAATAGTCTAAATCTGTTAAAACAGCAATTCCCAATGAGTTGGACATGATCTGGGAAGTGCTCACACCCCTTTGGCGGAGAAATGACAAACAAAAAACAAAACCTGCCAAATTCTGTGGGACCAAGTAGGAGCCAACGAGGGGAAGGAAAGAGCAAGACACTGTCTTCCTCCTGGAACTCCTCACTCTTACAGCACTTACTCCCCCCCGCCCCCCTTGAATCTCGGAGGTTTTGTTTTTTAATCTCCTTCCTCTGAAGTATCAGGGATGGCCTCAGCTGGAGATGGGACTTGGATGGGGCGGGCCGGGGCTCTGAGGTGGCACCGAGCATTCTCTCTCTCAGGTGCTTGGCAGGCTGGTTCTTGCTCGCATGCTCAGGGTCAAACTGATCACCATATGTGGGGTGGGGTCAGGAAGGAATTTCCCCCCCAGGTCAGGCTGACTGTGACCTCAGGGGTTTTTCAACGTCCTCTGCAGCGTGCAGGTGCATTATCTGGGTATGTCTCGTTTCATCGTTTCCCTGCCGTTGCACTGGTGCACCTTGGTCCCAAAGGATGGCAAAGGATTGGGGGGGGGGGTTGCAGCAGGCAACCACAGATGGATTTGGGGCTAGTGTGAGGGGACTGGGGACCACCTTGTAAATGATGCACATGGAGCTGGTTGAAAAATGGGAACATTTTTAATGAAAAAATTGTCCCTTTTTTGGAAAAATCTTGAATTTTTTTGACCGACTCTAGTTGCTTGGTTATTATTCTCCCCCAGCCAGAGCGACTTGCAGGACAGGAGGCAAATGGCTCATGTGACACTGTCCCTATGATCTTAATCTTGTAAATCTTGGTATGAAGCTAAAGATAGCCAGTGACAAATACGGATTTCCTCTAGCCACACAAGCAGGATTCAAGAGCTACCATCTGACAAACCCAGAAAGTCTGTTTTCTTTGTATCAAGCTAAAACAAATTCAGTTGCACAGGTTGTAAAATCACATACTTGGAGAAATGGAGCATTATTAAAAAGTCACTGAGAGGGGTTTTTGTCCTGCTGTACGTGCTTTTTGTGGGGGGCAAGGGGGAATGCCAGGCTCCTCAATGCCTCACCTTGACAATCTTTGTCTCCTTGGAATACACCAGTGAAATAAAGTCATTTCCCACAAAGATTTTTCTTTCTTGCCTAGGTCCCAAATTTCATTAACGCCACCCTGCCACCCAACGAGCGCATTACCGCCCAAGAGATAGACAGCTATTTCCGCCAGGAGCTCATCTACAAACGCAATGAGAGGATGGGAAAGAGGGTGAAGGACCTGCTGGAGGAGTACCCCGACAAGAGTTTCTTCTTTGCATTTGGAGCCGGTACGTGCTAGACGAGCTCTTGAATTTGATTACTTTCTTCCTGCATTTTTATGAACTCTGCTTTAAGCCCCAGACCCAGTTATGAATCCCTAGGCATAACTCACTGCAGGATCAGCCCTTAAAGGCATAACAAACCCTCTTATCTTAGTTGGTTCTTTAGACATAGACAATTATTCAAATTAAAGATAAATGTGAACTCTTTGAAGCTCGCCCTGTAGGTAGGCAGGGTTGTTGAAGGTGCATACTTGGTTTACTGTCTCATGCTAGCTTAAGTCTGAAAAGTTAGTTGGTTGATGGGTATTTAGTTCAATCAGTAGTGCCAAGACACTTCCAATGAGATTGGGGCCCCATTGTGCTGTGCTTTGCATTTGTACTTTCTAGTTATTTTCCTAAGGAACAGTTGATTCTCATTGGTTGGTAACCATTAAAACATGTTGATTTACAACTAAATAGAACCCTGACACTAAATCTGATCCTTCTTTTTGCTAACCAGGAGGATACAGTATATCTAGACACATTTATTTTTATTGTCTTAGAAAATGGTGAATTTTCTTATTTACTAGATGAGTGATTTTCTACTCATGATTTGTGTCAAGCTGCATTGGGATTGAAATTGGTATTCAACTAAAAATGCCCAAAACCAGCATTTGCAATTTTTAAAATTACTTGAATAAAACTACATTAACGATGCTGGATACTAGTTTCTATGTACGTTTACCAAAACACATTTTGCATTTAAAATTAACTGATTTATTGCAACAAAGTATTCTCTGTAGGTAATGTGTTGAACTAACTGTGCTCACCACATCCTTCAAGATTTTAGAACTACTAGACCACACTTTCACACCTAGTTTTTATTCATAGACTGGAAGAGGAAAACAAGCCTTCCTGCTTTTTCTTAACTTTGAATGAACTAGTCATTGAACTGAACTAGTTGAATAAACTGAAATGAAGAAAATATTCTCTCTGCATTTGCAGAGGAGGCTACTGCTGTCAAAAACTGGTTTAGCACTTCAACCAACTCTGGTTCCAGTTGCTGAGCCAGTGACTTCCACCAGGACAGTGATTGGACTTTCTTTAACACTTGGCAGCAAACATGTAGTGCAATATTCTTTTTGCATTTAATTTAAAAGATGTCATTAGATTACAGAGGTGTAGGCCTTAACATAGGTTGTCAATTTCAAATTTAATTTTAAATGTTTATTTTTAATAATCAACCTGTATTTAATTTAAATAAAAATCTGATCTAAATAAAAAAAACCCCTTCATTTTCATACACCCTGGTCCTTGTGCTGAAGAGCTGACAATCTCAATAGACAAGACAGGCAAAGGGGAGTGCAGGGGGGACAGAAGCACAGGAAGGGGAAATGACTTGGACCAGCCAAGAATAGAGCCAGGTCTCCTGATTCCCAGTCTAGTGCCCTACCCACTGCCTCCCAATTAAATTTGTCTCTAAACCTTAATGGCCACTGAAAAGGGGAATGCAGCTAAGACCACGCTCAAGGAGAGCAGCATCCTGTCAAGCAAGAGATGCACATGACACATTCATCTGATCAGTGGATGTTGCTTCAGTGAGGGTGGAGGGTCTAGATAAGGAAAGGGAAATATTTAGCTAAATGCAGTAACATCATTTACAGTAAGGAGAAATCCCTACACATGCACCAGGTAGCTCTGGTTACGGGCTATCTGCTTAGCATAACAAGGATCTCTCACATTGAGTAGGGTGGTAATGAAAGGTAGCTGATAGTATCTGTTCAGGCATGCATAAAGATTGTATACATACCATCCTTCTGCACTAATACACTGCTGCATACAGCTCTCCACCGCGGAGAAAAGTGAATCAGACACAGGTTACTTGGGTTAGGGCATTCGGGGGTGTGACCAAGTTCAGACTTTGATAAATCAGCTGCCAACACCACTGGCTGAACTGTCATGTCAAAGCAGCGTGTGAATCCCTGATGGGTTCATATTGATCATGACAGACCATAGATAAGAAACAAATGCCAGCCACAGAAGAAGAGCTAGTCCCTGCCATGTACTGCTCCAGGGACTGGGTCATAACTGAACACTGAATGGCCAACTTCAAATACAAACAAGGTCACATGGACGCAACGGTGAGCATGAAACTAGCCTGTCCTAGAAGCACTGTCCTGGAAGGAGTAATGACCTTCCAGCAGCAGCACACGCAATGAAATGGGCAGGTATAAACCAGAAATTTAAAGATACCTATTCCTGAATTTTCTTCCCTATCTTCCATTTTGTTAGTTTATTTTTTCTCTCTCAAGACTTGTCTACACAGCAACTTACATATGGCACGCCAGGGTGTGAATCTACAGCAGGGGTGGGCAAACTACAGCCTGTGGGCCACATCCGGCCCATGGAACCGTCCTGCCCGGCCCCCAGCCCCTCCCCCGCTGTTCCCCCTTCTCCGCAGCCTCAGCTTGCTCCGCTGCCGGCGCAATGCTTTGGGCGGTGGGGCTGTGAGCTCCTGGGGCAGCGCAACTGCAGAGCCCAGCCTCACCCAGTCTCTGTGCTGCGTGGTGGCGGCGGCGTGGCATGGCTGTAGTGCCGCCAGCCACTGGTGCTCCAGGTAGTGCAGTAAGGGGTTAGGGAGCAGGGGGAGTTGGATAGAGGGCAGGGGATTTCGGGGTGGTGGTCAGGGGGCGGGGAACAGGGGGTTGAATGGGGGCAGGAGTCCCGGGGGGCAGTCAGGAAGGAGGGGGGGTTGGATGGGGCAGCAGGTGGCAGTCAGGGGCAGGGGTTCTGGGGGCAGTCGGGACAGGGAGTGGGAGTGTGTGGATGGGGCAGGGGTCCCAGAGGGGCTGTCAGGGAACATGGGGGGTTGGATGGGGCAGGAGTCCTAGGAGGGAGGCAGATAGGAGGTGGGGGCTGGGTCACAACCCCCTCCCCTACCCAGCCCTCCATACAATTTACGAAACCCGAAGCGGCCCTCAGGCCAAAAAGTTTGCCTGCCCCTGATCTACAACATAAATGTGCATCAGGTTGTTTGAAACGGGAGTACAGCAAAGTGCACTACCGAACTTTTAGTGCGTGATAGCAGGGTCCACGCAGCCAGTTAGCGTGTGGCAAGCTGGCGTGCTGTACATTCATTTCACACCCTGGCTTGTCATGCAGCAACTTATTATGTAGACCACCCCTGAATGTATTTGCCACTGTCGTCTTCACAGACAATCTTCTCTGGCTTGCTCAGTTCTCTGTCTCTTCCCTCTTTGGCACCTGCCTTAGATTCTTAAAAACCATTCCAAGATATTTCTGTTCTTCCTTTCATCCTCTTCTTCTCCTTCCTTCACTTCACCGTTCCCCTTGCTCTCTCTTCTCAACTGCCAGGCTCCCTCCTCCAGTCCCCCCCCTGCACTTTCTCTTCTCCCCCACCCATGCGGGAAGAGCTCTTGTACTTCTGCAAGGAAATGATGCAGTGGGAAATATCCAGCCCTGTGCCTGTTGAGCTCCAGGTGACAACAGACGCTTTGCATGCAGGCTGCAGGAAGTACACTGCTCCCTCTCGCTCTCCACACACCCGTCAAACCTTTCTCGGTGTTTCCAGCATACTTTCTATGCCCCGCCTGCTGGAAGTCTCCAGGCCATTAGCATTGTTTCTTCTCTTCCCCGGGGGACACACACAGGCCTAGTCTACACTACGGGGTTAGGTTGAATTTAGCCGCGTTTAAAAATGAATGTGTCCACACAACCAACCCCGTTCCGTCGACCTAAAGGGCTCTTAAAATCGACCTCTGTACTCCTCCCCGGCGAGGGGAGTAGCGCTAAAATCGACTTTGCTGGGTCAAATTTGGGGTAGTGCAGATGCAAATCAACGGTATTGGCCTCCGGGAGCTATCCCAGGGTATGTCTGCACTACAAAATAGGTTGATTTTATAGAAGTCAATTTTTAGAAATCGATTTTATACAGTCAATTGCGTATGTCCACACTAAACGCGTTAAGTCGGCGGAGTGCATCCTCACTACCGTGGCTAGCATCGACTTATGGAGCGGTGCACTGTGGGTAGCTATCCCACAGTTCCCGCAGTCTCCGCCGCCCATTGGAATTCTGGGTTAAGCTCCCAATGCCTGATGGGGCAAAAACATTGTCGCGGGTGGTTTTGGGTACATGTCGTCAGTCGCCCCTTCCTCCGTGAAAGCAACGGCAGACAATCATTTCGCGCCTTTTTTCCTGGGTTACCCATGCAGACGCCATAGCACGGCAAGCATGGAGCCCGCTCAGCTCACCGTCACACTGCTGTTGTGGGCAAGTCTACTGTGGGGGCTGCTGTGATCCAAGTAGCCAATGCAATCATTGACGTTCTGTTATCAAGGGTAGTGACTCTGGGAAATGTGCGGGCCTTTTTAGATTTTAGGGGCATCATATTCCTGTCCTTTGTCGCTGGTGAAGAAGTCTTGCAGCCGTACGTTCCAGTCTGGTCGGCGCTGTAACACCCCATAGCACTTCTGTGGTTGACGCATGTAACAGCTCCAGGGCTCTTGCTCTTTTGCCTTGGCCGAGGTACCTTGCCCTACCCAGACCTCCAAGCATTCGACACAGGGGCACCTGCAGCAGCTGGCATTGCTACACAGTAGCAGGTCCTTGCCTTCGCAGCAGACGGTGCAGTAGGACTGCTAACAGTCGTCATCCACTGCTTCCGCTGCAACTCTGCTCTCTTGCTCCCCAGCAACGAGCTCCGGGGATCCGTACTGGTCCTCCTGGGTGCTGCTGGCAGCAGACAGTGCAGTAGGACTGGTAACCGTCCTCGTCTGACATGTAGCTTGGCCGGGGGTTCTAGGAACGTCTTCCCTGCCTGGCTCCTAGCAACCTCCAGGACATGGTGTACGGCTCCATCACTTCCCCTGCAACTCTGCTCTCGTGCTCCCCAGCGACGAGCTCAGGAGATCCGTTCATGAAGCCTGGACAGTAGTAAGGAGCAGTTCAACTATAGGCTGAGCAAGTGCAGAATGGTGGTAGAATGTGCCTTTCGATGTTTAAAAGC